AAATCCTGTAGAGGAGTACTATAGATTCAGTTTTTTTTACCAATTTAGTGATGCTTCCTGTTAGCTTTATACCTAAGTTTAAAGCTAAGAGAGTATTTTTGCATCATAAACTTAAGGTAAAGTCAATGAAACAGTTGAAATAAACTGGTCCTTTATGGAGACCTGTTTCCATGATACCAATAATACTAGGTTCATATTCAAGAAACCTAGCATCTCTTAATGTTAATAATGCTGCTGAATTTTTTCCTTGTTGAGTTAATGGTTTAATAGCCATTTGTACTAAACCAAGGTGAATAAAGTTAAATCCTTTATCCCTATGCTTTTTAAGGGTTTTAGGACTCAACAGTTGGCAACTTTGTTCATCCTTAAAGAGAGGATAAATTTGTTCAATAGTTTTTACTTGTAATTCTTCATTGAAGGCTTTAAGGAGCCAACTAGTTTTATAGATATCTCGATGGGATACCTTCGGGATATTCCATCCAGTCCAATTTACTCTTGTTTCTCCAAACTCATGTTCTTCTTCATTTACTATATTAGGTATAGTATCTAATGAAGATCTAGATGAGCTAGCCATAGAGTTAGATCTAAATAATCTACTCATTGCTATATTTAAAAATTTTCAATTTTGTAAATTAATTTTAATATTTGATGTCATGATACATACCCCCTAACATACATATTCCCTCAGAACCTGTCTAGTTTACCTAAAACTGCCTACACAAGGACTTACAAAACGGGAATGGTCGATTATTCTCTCTCGGGAGACAAAGGCTGGGTGATCAAGGTGAATCAAAATTAATACTGATTTACTAATTGAAGCTGTAAAAATTTAGAACAAGTAAGATGACTCAAATATAACTGTATGGATAACTATCCAGGCCGTCAAATGGCTCTGATATATATATATATATATATATATATTATTTTCTTAGAAAGGAATCATTTAAAGCCTTTCCCTACCTCTTTTCTATTATCCTATGTTTTTTAATTATTTAATTAGGAATAGATCACTTTTTTTTTTGTTTTGGGAGGGGGTGTCTAGAACCTTTAACTCCAAGAAGACAAAGCCTTCACAATGTAAAGAGTACCATTAGATTAAAGACCTGTTGAGTCCCAAATAACCACCTCTCGACTCTCACTATCTTGTTACTATTTATCTAAATTTATTTAAAAGAGCAATGCTATTGGGACATAATTTGATGACATAATTTGGGGACTTAATAATTGTGGTCATTAAATTGTCAGTGGATTCCAGCATTAAATTATCATTGGGTTTCAACACTACATAATTTGATGACATAATTTGTAAACTTAATAATTGTGGTCATTAGATTGTTGGTGGATCTTAACATTAAATTATCACTGGGTCAAACACTATCAATCCAATGATCATAATACATTAAATTTGATGAGCCCAAAACCGATTAGGCCAGGCCCAATAAAACAACTAAGCCCAAATTGGCTAAAAGGCAGCCCAAGCCCACTTTGTCAATCCGACCCAGTCTAGGATCCAAGGAGCCCGAAAAGATAAAAGCACATGAGAAAGAGAATATCGGGATATGCAGTCATGAAGATCAATCCTACTTTAACTATACTTACCAAAGAGGTGGTACCTTCTCCCTCACGTCACCGCCTCACAAAACCTATATATTGTAAGCTCTCTCCACATGAAGAGACATCTACATTTACAACTTCTCTCCCAACATACTACACCTTAAGTTTTGTCTCTTTACACCTCCCTACACACCAAGTTCTCTCTCCTAACTAGTGTAACTCTCCTAGAGCTCTCTCTCCTAGTTGCTTTATTCATCAATAAAGACTTTCGGCCACTGCTGCCATTGCCCATTAATTATACATCTTCACATACTTAACTGTTGATCTTGCACGAGACCAATTTGTGCATCATCAGTTTGGCACCATCTGTGGGAAACAACAATGTTTTTTGCTACCTTGTTCCTCTATGGCAATCACGACCAGATTGATGAGTCAACAACCAAGAGAAAACAACCCAATCCACTGGGAGGAGGCTCCGCCTCCTCTTGCACCCTTGAAACCATCTGCTATGGTAACTCCCATCGTCGGGCAACAGCTCTTACAGACCATACAACTGCTGGTAAACTAAAATCAGCAAATCATTCAGTTGATACTCACCTAGGGAGGCGTCGCCCCTCACCCCGTGGGAGGAACCCCACTCCCTCCAACGGGAGAGGAGCAACAACCTATCCACTTTGGGCGCCAAGCAGCCCCCACCATGGGGTCCTTCGCCAGAATGCCCCAGGGCCACGCCCAGGAGTCCCTCGTCCAGCAGTCCCTCCTCAGCGCATAGGAAGCTCACGTATTCCCCCTCCTCTTGTACCTACGCAAGAGGATGAAGGAGAAAGCCAGTATGTCGATCATAGAAGCCAGTACAACCACCTAACGAAGGATGTCCCCAACCAATGGGATGAGAAAATCAGAGAAGTGTAAAACCAACTTGGTGATGCCCTCAACGGCATCAAGGCACAGGCACCCAAAACGGTGGATTACCTGGTAAGGCGCACTGATACCCCATTCATTGCAGATATAGTCAATTATCCCTTACCCTCGAAGTTCAAGATGCTTGCCATTGAGATCTTTGACGGTACCAAAGACCCTCTAGATCACATTGACACCTATAAATCTCTCATGCAACTCTATAACGTGCCTGATAAGATCATGTGTAGAGCCTTTCCCACTACCTTGAAGGGGTCTACTCGTCAATGGTTCGCAAAGATCAAACCCTCCTCTATCCACTCCTTTGCGGAGCTGAGCAAATCCTTTGTCTCCCACTTTATTCGAGGACGCCGACTTTAAAAACCTGTTACCCACCTGTTCACCATCAAGCAGGACTGGGACAAAAGCCTCAAGAGCTACCTTACTCATTTCAATGAGGAGGTTCTCCAGATTGAAGAGTCAGAAGATAAAGTAACCCTAACTGCCTTCATTGCGGGTCTACGCTCCTCTAGTTTTATGTTCTCTGTCCTCAAGAAGTCGCCCTCCAGCATGCTCGAGCTACTGTCAAGGGCACAAAAGTACATAAACGCCGAGGCCATCACCAAAGTCCGTTGAGGTGAGTCCTACCGAGGAGAGAAAAGGAAAGACACCCACGAAGACAAGTGGGAGGTAGAAAATAAGACAAAGAGAACCGAGAAAGTCTTTGTCAAGGACCGTCTCGATTCTGTACCCCCCGAGAGAACGACAACCATTCACGTCACTCAACGCCTCGATGGAGCACATCCTATTCCAGATACAGGATGACTCCACGCTCCGCTGGCCCAGAAAAATGAAGTCCGCCCCAAATCGCAGAAATCCCAGTAAGTATTGTCGCTTCCACCGTGACCATGACCACAACACTGATGACTGCTATGAGCTCAATAGGCAAATTGAGGAGCTTATACAGCATGGCCAGTTGAGGCAGTATGTTGCTGGCAGAGAACAAGCTCCACCACCTGGTCGGGACTAGGATGACAGAGAACGCCAGCAATCCCTCAGAGAAATCCAAACGATCTCTTAAGGGCTAGGAGAGGAGGTGACTCGAACTCCTCCAGGAAAGCCTCAACCCACCTATGGGACCCTAAACACCTGAAGATTTTATCTATCCTTTATTGTTCCAATTGATTTATTTTGTTATTTATTATTTCATGAAATAAAATTCTGCGAATATTATTGTGTCCATAACTGTCTTGCTTTCATTTCATAAAGTTTGCAAACAGCTTACAAAAGTCAGGACATGACCTAACAACAAGGAAGACAAAAAGACAAAAGTCGTCATAACTCCTGACGATCAGTCTCTACACCTCGAGTCATTATCATCAAGGTTCTCCCCATCACCAACTATTCTTGGTGCCTCATAGGGGAAGAAGCCAGAGAAATCAATAGCAGGGAAAGCTGTCAAGCCCTTCATAACCATCAGTAAAGGTGTTTGCAGTGGCCCTCTCAACAACCTCCCTCCTCATCTTCATCTCAATGGAATGAGCATCTGCCACGACAGACCTCTCCTAAGCTATACGTAGCTCGACCTCAGCTCCAACGGCCCTCTCGCGGGGGATTGTAGCTCTGACTCTGTTCTCGTATAGACAGTCACCTTATCAATCTCTAGCTTTGCACTCTCTTGCGAGTCGCCAAGAAGTTCGACCTAAGTCCACCTATGCTCCTAAGCAGCCTATATCTCTAGCTTCGCACTTTCTTGTGAACTACCAAGAAGCTTGACCTAATATTACCTCTGCTCCCAAGCAGTCTATGTATCCAGCTTCGCACTCTCTCGCAAGTCGCCAGAAAGCTTGGCATAAGTCTATTTCTGCTCCCAAGCAATATATGTCTCTAGCTTCGCACTCTCTAGCGAGTCGCCAAGAAACTCGGCCTAATCCTACATCTGCTCTCAAGCAGCCTCAATCTCCAACTTTGTGCCTCTCTCACGAGTCGCCAAAAGCTTGGCCTCAAGAAGTGTTACTCTCTCATGAGTAAACCTCAACTACTCTCAACTGCCCCTTGTACCTACCTCTCTATTATCAGATGCTTGAATGCCTCTCCAAGCTTGATCGTCCTTGAAAAAGGCAGGGAAAAATGCCAACCTTCTACAAGCATTCAAAAATCAGAACATGAAGGAAAGGAGGCGAGTACAAAATCAAAGTTGAGAAGAGAGGCATCCCATGGAAGACCCTTCCATCGCGGTATTGGTAATACCCCTTGGACCTCGAGATCCAACCTCTCTAATATCCCTGAGAGTCACAAACCTCCAAAGCCACTCCTTGACCAAAGTCACGCCCTGCAACATGGACTCAGAGCCACTACTAGAAACAGGGCAACTATATGGAGCTACAGTCCTCGTAGAAGACCGCATTGGAGTCTCAACTCCTACAGTGGTACAAGGGCTAGTATTGATGCACACAGGAGTTACAGTCTTGGAAGGAGTGGGGCACCACCAGATCCCATTCCCAGGAAGCAATTTGGACATTGAACGTCGATTAAAAGTACTGGGGGCATCAAACCTCGCCCTCTTGGGAGGAGTGACCCGAGACATCGCCCGAGCGACCCAAGATGGCGTCCGAGAGACCCAAGATGGCGCTCGAGCGACCCGAAATGACGTTCGAGCAACCCGGGATGACGCTCAAGCGACCCGGGATGGTGCCCAAGCAACCCGAGGAGGCGCCTGAGCGACCCGAGATAACGCCTGAGTGACCCAAGATAACACCTAAGAGACCTAAGACGACGCCCGAGCGACCCGAGATGACGCCCAAGCAACCCTAGACGGTCCCCCAACTACCCGAGACGGCGCCCAAGCGACCCGAGATAGTGCTTGAGCAACCCGAGATAGCGACCAAACGACTCGAGACGACGCCTGAGCAACCCAAGGCAGCGCCTTCTATATTGACACTTGTGCCTGGGGCATCTCCAGCAACCCAGCACAATGGCACCGTCCAACCCCTCATTAGTGCCGCCTAGCGGTTGGCCCATCACTCCTTCGCCTCCTATTCCAAGGTAGTGCCCAAGGTAGCACAACACCTGACGTCGCACAGCCTGGCACCCAGTCTCCTCCTGGCATCGCCCAAGCCAGCACACAACGTTTGGCGTCCCCTAGCAGGAGCCCAGCGCCTGCAAGGCATACCCTAGCCTAGCGCTTGTTCCTGCTGGCACTGTCTGGCTCCTACTCGCTCCTGCTTTAGTCCATTTCAGTAGTAGCTCCCCCTCTCGCCCAAAGGCGTCGCCCAGCAGCTCCCCCTTTCACCCAAAGGCGTCACTCAGCAACCGTCCCTCTCGCCCAAAGGCGCCGCCCACCAACTCTCCAACGCCTTAGGCGCCGCCCACCTGGCCTCTTGTGCCATGGGCGCTACCCACCAATCCTCCTGCCATGGCATTGCCCACTCCATTATGGGATTTTCCTAAAGTCTCTCTCCCTATGCTTGATGTCATGCCAAAGGCTTCATAGGAACTTTCGCCACTGCCAAAAGAGGAGGTCAAGGCGTCGTCCGCGTGGAATGGGGCGTCGCCCTTGTAGCCGAAGATCTCGCCTTGCCTGATGAAGGTGCCGCCCACTGGGACATTACCCACGAGGATGTTGCTCTTCTCTCTCTCCACCAAGGCTATGCCTCTTCCAATCAAGGGCCCAATGCCATGGGCGCCACCTCCCTCCTTGGCCTCTCCAACTGTCGTCTCCCTCAAACTCCTAGCCTCCTTCGAGTTCATAACTCTCATTATCTTGTTTTGATTTAGAATAGAGAAGACTAAGGAAGAATGACTTCTAGGAGAAGCCTTTAAATAGAAGAGGATGGCTTCTTGGAGAAGCCTTTGAAGAAAAAAGAATGGCCTTTAGGAGAATCCTCAAAGGAAATGGTGGGCGAAATAAGGTGGGGGAAAACTAAGGCCTTTATATATAGGCACAATTTTTTCAAGACCCAGCAAGAGGGATGTCGAAAAATTCAAAAAACACCCAATGTCAATAGATGTAGCAAGATCCCTGAAGATGAAGAGGCACTGTGGAGAACAAGAAAACTCCTGCTCACCCAAGTGAAGAAGAAGCTCATGCCCTCAACCCCCTCCTCTCGCAAACAGTCGAAGGATTGGGGCATGGGGGGCAAATGATGAGCCCAAAACCGATTAGGTCAAGCCCAATAAAACAACTACGCCCAAATTGGCTAAAAGGCAGCCCAAGTCCACTTTGTCAATTCAACCCAGTGCAGGATCCAAGGAGCCTGGGAAGATAAAAACATGTGGGAAAGAGAATATCGGGATATGCACTCATGAAAATCAATCCTACTTTAATTGTACTTATCAAAGAGGTGGTACCCTCTCCTTCACATTCCCGCCTCACCAAATCTATTTATTATAAATTCTCTCCACATGGAGAGACATCTACATCTTACAATTTCTCTTCCAACACACTACACCTTAAGCTTTGTCTCTCTACACCTCCTACACACAAAGTTTCTCTCTCCTAACCATTGTAATTCTCCCAGAATATACCCTCCCGATTACTTTATTCATTAATAAAGTCCTCTGACCACCGCTGCCATTTTTCGAGAGTGAAGTAGGTCACCCAGACCGAACTATTATATATCTGCGTGTTTGCTCATATTTACTGTTTTGTCATTGATTGATTTATTTACTGTCCATTAATTATACATATTCACATACTCGACTGTTGATCTTGCACGAGACCAATTTGTGCATCACCAAAATTCTCAAATTATATCCCTAAATTATGTTCCAACAACATTAGTGTATTTTAAAATATTACTTAACTTTTCATATTCTGCATCTACATTTCCAGTATGTGAGATGAATGAGAAAAAAAGGGAACGGATGAAGAACGGGAGGGCCACAAGATGGGGGTAAATGTCGTGCATTGCATGGGGCTGTGGCTAGTATTGAAAAATATTATTACCTCGTGCTTCACGTTATTCTGAAAATGCTTCGTCGTAACTATCAAAAACAAAAATGCTCAAACATTATTAGAAAGTTTTCTAAAATAATTTAGAGAGTAAATTGTAAACTTTATTTGATCAAAGAGATCAATCAAACTCTAATTCTAAGATCTAGAACACTCATAATTTTTACATACTCATAATAATCATAATGTAGAATTAAAAACATCATAATCAACATACCTGGAGTCATTATTGCAAACCTTGAATTACTAGATCAAGAATTGAACCAAACTTTGGTGTAGTCCGGAAATTAGTTTTTCTCTCCTAACCTTTATTCGTACGATACACAACTTGATGGGGCATGTGTATATTTATAGGTAAAAAAAGGACTGATTCTCTAGTTCAACATAAACTCTACTTCCCATCAAGTGGACCACATTAATTCTTACATAAATATGAAGTCTACATCACTTTAGTCCTCTAAAACTTAATCTATTATGATGTGTTGTACAAATTCAGACTTCTAAGCCACCATTGGCATGTGTGGGGGAGAATAGTTTTCCTTCCCTCAAATTATTTTTTTTTCTTAGATTGGACCTTGTTGATCCCAGAATCTATTCACAGTGATGGATGACTGGACATGTGACCTGGAAATTGGCAAGAGCCTTCCTACAAAAGAAGTCGAAGTCTAGAGGGACTCCGGTGATCGACCCTTTGATGGTAAAGTCAGGAGAGAATGATGGAAAAAAACTGTATTTAACTGGGAATGAATTACTTACTTGAATGATTTATAGCTTTGTCTTTCTATAGGTCAAAAGATTGTACCATTAAAAAACTTCAATAATTATTTGAATGAAGCGGCATTGGAAGTGATATAAAAATTGGCATCGTCTAGCGTGTAAATCTCAATTAGTTTGAATTAGTTAAGATAAGCCCAGCTGGAGTGTTAGCGAGCAAGGAGCTACAGTCATTACTGAGTCTAGAACTTGCCTTATCTAGCAGCAGAGCTCAGGTGTTGAGCTCGAGCCCACGTGCTTAACTTGTGCCTAATTTACAATCATCAGACCTAAACCAGAGAAAGGAAAGAAATGAAATGAGAAACTTCTAAGTGTAATTTAATCTAATAGATAAGGTGCAATAAAATTAGATCACTATATATACAAGTCGGCTCGAAATTATTTGTGTTTAACTTAATGTTGATTTTGGAATGTACTAAACTCGACTACATCTTTATAGGCAACAAAAAAAAAACATATAATCCTCGACGTTAAAACATACAAAAAGTTTCGAGACATCGTTGTGCTCTTCTGTATTCTGAAAATCCTCCTATGTTATTTAATCCAAAAAATGTTGAAATTATTTTTCAGTGATGTTATAGCATCCTACATATAATAATAACAAAGGTTGGCTATAACAACAACCTTCTTGTTCCGATAAATATGACGAATTTGTAAGTCCAACATTTGACTAGTATATTGTAAGATTCAAGAATTATCTCTTGTCATCTTTTTATTAATAGCTCATTTTTTAAAATTATTTTGATATAAACCGTTAAATTACTAAGCATTACAACTTCTAAATAATGCACCTATAGCAGCACACAAAGCAGTCACAGAGAGGTGAAGAGATGCTCAAAGAGGTCACAGTATATTCTCGGGCTTTTTGCACTTTATATTCTAAAATATTTTAAGATTCTCACTTTATACTCTTAAAGCTTAAATTTCTCACATTATATTCTCAATATATATAAAATGTTACAATATAACTCTTCTATTATTTTTTCCGTCAAAAATCAACACATTGACACTGACGAAAAAACTAACAGAAGGGTCACATTACCACACTTTTGATACATTGAGGGTACAATATAAAAAATTTAATCTTTAAAAATACAAAATAAGAATTTTAAAATCTTTTGCGTACAAAGTGCAATTCACCCTATATTCTATAAGAATATTCTATAAGAAATCAAACTTGCTTTTGACAAGAATTGAGGCTTTGACATTTAAGTGTGTAAAATCATGATTGTTAAAAAAAAAAACACTAAAGAGTTAATGCATTGGCTTCGTCACTTGTTTTTAGGCAAGAAAGTTCCACACTAAGAAGGTAAAAGATGGCACATTTTGGCTAAACTTGTCGAAGCTAAAGATGTAGAAAATACCACACTGAAACTTGTAGTAGCCAAAGATGTCTCACAGAGCTGATCACATGGTTCTCATCTCCGCAAGTGTGGACGCAGAGCTTAAAGAATCCCCTTGGTTCGTTTCTTTTACCCCAAAAAGTCTCCTCGAATTACTTACCTTTAAAAACACTTTTTAAGTTGTAACTTCTACCTCAAAGAGCTGTAATTATTTTTACAATGAACCGCAATTTAGTTAAAAAAAATTAACGATTAAACATAGGAAAAATTTTAACTACACCCCCTCTAGTTTATCATATTTTTAAAGACACCCTTTCTATTTTTGAATCTTCTTTGAAACTTGCTGTCATATTAAAATGTTAACTAGAATGTAATTTTACTAAATTTTTTATGTTATATTTGAGAAAAAACTTCATTCATATCTTCTTTAGATAAACATATCTTCAATGAGACATTTTCTGTTTTCTAAATTTTTTTACGTATTAAAATTTGAGTTGATTAAAAATTATATTTTTTATGTATTAAAATTTGAACCTATTAAAATTCTATTTGGGCAGATTAAAAATAAAATTTTAATTAACTCGCATTGAATTTTAATCAACCCAAATTTTGATACATAAAAAATGTAAATTTTAATCGACTCAAATTTTAATGAATCGAATTTTAATTGCCACGAATTTTAATAAGTAAAAAAATATAAATTTTAATTGACTCGAAGTGAATTTTAATCAGCGATAATAGCCCAAGTAGAACTCAAATCAGCTCGCATTTTAATAAGTTAAAAATGAATTTTAATAGGCTCAAATTTTAATACATAAAAAAATCAATTAGCTCGAATTGAATTTTAATTGGTTCAAATTTTAATATGTAAAAAAATAAATTTTAATTAACTTAAATTTTAATATGTAGAAAAATAAATTTTAAT